TAGGGGAGACATGATAGCAGTCTTCCAATATCTCAGGGGTTGCCGTAAGAACAAGAGGGAGTCAAACTATTTTCCAAGGCACCTGAGGGTAGAACAAGAAGCAATGGGTGGAAACTAATCAAGGAGAGAAGCAACTTAGAACTAAGGAGAAATTTCCTCACACTTAGAACAATTAATCAGTGGAACGGCTTTTGCCTCCAGAAGCTGTGAATGCCCCAACACTGGAAGTCTTTAAGATGTTGGATAACCATTTGTCTGAAACGGTATAGGGTTTCCTGCTTAGGCAGGGGGTTGGACTAGAAGACCTCCAAGGTCCCTTCCAACTCTGCTATTGTATTCTATTATCAATAAAGTTCAAAGGACTTGGGAGGTTGGATCTGAGCTAGCTGACCTTTTACTTATTCTAATTCCATTTCCATGGAGACCTTTCCACAGGGCTTTTACAATCACTTAAGGAGTAAAGCTTGGAATTTCCTTTGATTCACTGCAACAGGGTTCTCTTTCTATGTTAGACTGCTGTTTGCCTCCAAGCCACAGGCATTTGGCCTTAACAACAGTAGATCGGACTGGATAGGTTGGGAAGGGGCGGGGGTTGCTTTATCATGTGATTCCTGGGTCCCCTCCCCTGGAGCTCATTTAGATGGAAACAAAGTCGATCTTGCTTTCAAACAGGGAGAGAGAGGAAACATGCTTTTCTAACTCTGCAGGATCTGTTTTCTCAGCATACCAGAGAAGAAATGAGAGTCTAGCCTGTAAGCATTCTTCCATAAACAAAAAACAGGCTTTTCAGAGCAGATGGAGCCAGCTAGGTTATAGACGCTGCCTTTCTCATGCAACTCTTGTCCCCCTTTTAGCACATTTTCTTAATCACAACAAAGCCCTTCGTCTCAGGAGTTGATCAGCCTCACTAAAACGGGATGTTTCTCTTTGCTCCAAGAGGGGAAGGGGGGAATCCTGGCAGCTGTTCTCAGTTAAAATGCAAACAGAGTTTGGGATTCAACTTCAAAGTCCCTTTTACTCGAGGAGAGCTCAAAATAACATCATCTTTTTACTCAAGGGAAGCGAAAACATCATCTTTTTACTGTTCTGCCTCCAGCTTGTAGGCTTGCTCGGGTCATGCAGTTAACTCCACGCTTAGGAATCTCATTCAGATCAAGTTTATTATCAGGCATTCTTAATAGTAAAACTTACAGTACAGTTAGTGTTAAGATACTTCTGACTTTCCATAATCTGTTCCGTCAGGTAGTGTAAAAAGATGACTGTTGCGGTTCACAAAGGCATTTAAATTGCCCGGCTATAAACTTTGCACGCAGGCAAAATGCCCCAGTGGCCAATCAGAAACAGAGATGGGATCACATGCCATGGAACTACATTTTCCATAAGGCAGTTTCTGCCTACATTTCCCATGAGGTAGTTTCTTAAAGGAGACAGTTCTTAATTCCTACACTAGCTATATACTGCTTGGGCAGCACAATGGTTGTTAGTTTGCCGAAGCATTATCTCCAAAAACCTGTTGCTACTGTATTGTGGCGAGTGCTCCTCCCTCCCTATATAGGAGACCGAGGGAGGAGGTGGAGGTTGAATGCAGGTGTTGTGCGCGCGTTGGAGGCGGTCAATGCGTGCAGAGCTCATGCTGGCAGGCATGAAGGAGACGTGCGGGTAAGGGGGCGGGCGGAGGCTTGCCATGTCACGTCACGAAAGGGCAGCCTGGGAGTGGGATGCCGGGCTCTTTTTTGCTTGAGGAAAGTGAGGTGGACGCATGTGACCCACTGCGGTTGCTGCTGCTGACGCTTTCTGCCCTTCCCACGCTCAGCTCAGAATTTCCATTGGCTTTCTTGGAAACCGCTAACTCGCTAGAGTACTTTGGATAAATGCAACTGCTAGAAGCAAAACCGTAAAAACTCAAGGCATGTTTCTTGGGGGGATAAGAAAGTAAAAATGTGTGTGTTCCAAAGGTATTGCGTGGCAGCCCCGTCATGCCCAATATGCGTCGAAATTTGGGAAAGTGGGTGTACTGGGTGGTTTTACTATCAATTGGCTAGGACCTCATACACGCACGCAAAAAAAAATGCACCGAGGAGAAGGAAGAAAAAGTATCTTGCTTTTCGTTGTCTTTTGAGATCCCTGTGATTTATCCTCTCCTCCCCCAGTACGTTGTGTATGAAAGCAAGCACCCACACTTACACCCCCAAGTTTAATTCTTATGTCTCGGGCACAGTAGACATTAAGCCCATTAAAATTGTGGTGAATAATTTACATAAGTATATTAAGTAAAAATACATAATACATACTTATATTTTACATAATATAAGTATATTAAGTAAAAAATTCATGATATTGAAAACTAATTTATTTTAATGCAGAGAAGTAGGTTGCCCAAGTTCTGTCTGAAATGCTGTTTTTTAGAAAGGTATGGAGGAAGTCTCAGAGTATATCTATCCTTTCTTGCTACTTCCAAATGCCTTGTAGTTAGCTTGTATCACTGCCTTTCCCTGCTGTTGATGAGCATAATTATTCTACACCTGCAGAGAATGAGTAAGTAGGCCCTAAAGTGGTAGATTGAATCATTTCTGCCAAGTTATGACCTTTTTAAAAGGCCATTTTTTTCAGAGGTCCTTATTATAAGGCAGATGAATGCATTCTCCCCCTTCTAGTTTATTCTACGTTTAATTTGGGATGTATAGTAAGGACCTTGGATAGAGACCATGGCCCCCTATTTGCTATGGAACATTGTCCTTCATCCTATTCTCAATTCATTATTGTCCTCTGAGGCAGTTTGCTTGCTTCTCTGGTAGCAAGGTAATCCTGGTCAAGCATTATTAGATTTCTTGAAGGACAGTGTTAAGAATAGAAGATGAATAGAAGGTGAAGAAGACAGCTGAGGAGATAGCTCCCTGTTCTGCTCTGAAGGTTTTACCTGCTAAATTAGCAACTAAAAATAAGATATCAAGAGGACTCAACACTACTGCATGGCCAAAGCCTGTAAATGTGTTAACTTTTTTACCCTTTTGTAGTTAAGTAATGTGCTATAGATTTGAGAGCAGAACAACCATCTTTGGTGAAGAATGAAACAAGAATTATGTTGGGCGTGATCCGCTCCTTTTGTCATCTTCCTGTTTACTGTGAAATTTTAGATGCTTCCCTTGTAACCTATCATCTCTCCTGTAGACCCTTTTGACTCTCTGGTTTTATAATCAGTTTTACCACCCTAGTTGGTCTCCTCATGAGTTAATCCTAGACAGACTGGTTTTAAGCTGTCCTGGCATACAATATAGATGCCTTTACTCCCATGTAAAGGTAAAGGTTCCCCTCGCACATATGTGCTAGTCGTTTCTGACTCTAGGGGGTGGTGCTCATTTCCGTTTCAAAGCCAAAGAGCCAGCACTGTCCAAAGACATCTCCGTAGTCATGTGGCCAGCATGACTAAATGCCAAAAGCACATGGAACGCTGTTATCTTCCCACCAAAGGTGGCCCCCATTTTTCTACTGGCACTTTTTACGTGCTTTCGAACTACTAGGTTGGCAGAAGCTGTGACAAGTAATGAGCTCTCACTCCATTATGCGGCATTAGGGATTCGAACTGCTGATCTTTCGATCGACAAGCTCAGCGTCTTAGCCACTGAGCCACTGCTTCCCATGTAGTGGCCCTTAATTTTATTTTAAATATATTTAACATTTGGATAATTGATAGTGGGACAATATCAAGGGAGGAAAGATCATAAATCTTGCTTTCCTCTAATTTCCCCAGTCATTAATATTTTTGTTGCATTCTGACTTAAGTCCCGTCTCAGCAACCCAAGACTCAATTGGTCTTATTAGAGAATGTGTCTACATGTAGGGCAGCCTTCCTTAATCTGAGCATCCTCCAGATGTATGGAATCCAGCTAATAGAATTTCTCAGGAGGTCTGGCCATTGTTGAGAATTTCGTGGGATTGATCATCTGGAGGACATCAGGAAGGTTAATATAGGCCAGTGAGGACGAACCTTTTTGTAAAGGAGTGCCAAAATTGTGTGTCCATGCATGCATGCCCAAATTCACAGTTCAATGCATCCCACCCACCTGCACATGCACATGCAACCCCCCCCCCGCACATGCACACACAAACCCAACCACCCCCACACACAGGGGTAGAGTTTTTACCCTTCCCAGGCTCCAGAGGCTTTCCTGAAGCCTGGAAAGGCTGAAAACGGCCTCGCCCGGCCCTCCAGAAGGCTGAAAATGATGAGCTGGTGTGTTGGAGCTGAAGACTTGCGTGCCAGCAAATATGGCTCCGTGTGCCACCTGTGGCACTCACCATCATGGATATAGGCACAATGCTAAACCAGGAAATTATTCATAAACAAGGGGAAGACTTTGACACTGGAAGGGAGAGAGATTATAGACTTCGTTTCCAAAATTATACATAGGCAGGGGTGAGTTCTTGAGTCAATAATTATTTTGCATTCCATAATATTCCAGATAGGTCATAGGGCATTTTTAGTCATTTTTTGGAAAGGAAAGGTGGAACTTATTTTGAAAATGCCTTCTGATATATCTTGTTGCTGGCCAAATCTTTGTGGTGTTCAGTTTCACTGCTGGAGAAGAGATTATTTGGTTGTAGAGCATTTGCTTTCCACCTAGAAGAGATTGCGTCTGTTCCCTATTATTAGTCAAAAGGGATTAGGGATCAGATAATGGGACAGATTTGTGTGCCTGAAACCTATTGCCACAATCAATAGTATTGAGTTAGATAAACAATTCCTCTTCCCTATATGGAAGCATTTCTGCTCTCTGATTATTTGATATTAACTTAATAAAAGGTGGAGTAGACTATTGGTTGATCAGTGCGATTTACAACAAAAATTTCAGGGTGCTGTTTGACAGAAACAACAGACAAACAATTGGGAGAAGGAAACTGCTGCTGAAATTAAAGTAAAAAGAAAACGGAATTCCTGATGGTTTGAAAGGGGTTGTGAGTTCTGTTCTGGCAAATTCTTGGTTTTGGAAATGAATTGGGTGTTTCTGTTTCACCTTGGTTGATACACTGCAGGATTGTAGTAAGGAAGAAAAAAGTTCAGTCAGTGTGAAATATGCTCATTGCTGCTGTTTAAAAGCTGTTTGTTTAATTTTAAAAGCCAATGTCTCAGATATTATAAAAACTCCTCCCCACCCTTAGAAAATTCCGCTTATGGTATTTCATCATAATTCCATTCACTGTAGGCGCTTGGCTTGTAAAGAACTATATGAATCCCAATACATTCAAAAGTTGCCCACTCCTGTTCTAATCACACAGGAATATGATTTAGGGTGTTTAAATAAAAGGCACCTAACTAGGATTTTGAAATGGAGATGGTCAGTAGATAATGATGCTGGAAAGTAATGCTAATGGTTCCCTCTATAAGCATGACTCTCTTAGGAGAAAGTTAGATATGAATATGTGAAAATTATGTTTTTGCCTTATACAGAGCAATAGAAAGAAATTGGTTTTGGGAGTGAGGGTTTGCTTCAGATATCCCTGAATTTGCAGCGATCCATTTTATACAGTAATGTGCCAAATTGTGGGAGGGACAACTATCTACTAATTAGCACTTCAGTCATCTTAGATGTTGTATTTTCTATATATATAATTGCATTAAATTATTTGACTCCGAGTCAAACATATCAAAATATTTTAATTGAAATATATTAGTTTAATTTATATTGATAATACAATGAAAAAAAATACTTGAGTGGGATCCTTGTTAGTGAAGATGATGCAAACCTTGCAAATCATTTTATCTTTGTAAAAGGCATGCAAAAGTGAACTTATAAATGTACTGCAATAATCAAGCCAAGATAGATTGATTGGTTCTTTAAATGTGTATCCACGCACTGAAGTCTGTAATACTTGGAAAACTGTTAAGAACAAATACATTTCTAAAATTTCAGCTCACAGCAAAGTGATGCTGCTTTCCCTATAAAAAACTATCCTTTTTTTGCCTTAAGATGTAAGCTACCTTGAAAACTGAATTGATATTAGTAGAAACCTTAGTTTTTAATATTATGGAAACGTGCCTTTGCTTGAACTGTACAATTTCACTTCAGATATGAGGTTATTTCCTATAATAGCTTCTTTTTCTGCAAATTCTGGACTTTAAATCAGATAAATTACTTAATATGCAATAGGGATGTGAAGAAAGGAGTTGGTTGTGGTGGAGAAAAATAAACTCCTTAGTCTTGATTTATTTAAATTTTCTGTGCAGAACTTATTTGGAGAACCAGCTGGAAAGGCACTACGGAATTACTTCTCCCATTAGTTTGGCACCACCAAGGGAAATAGATTACATCTATTCACAGAAATTGATTGAAGCCCTGAAGCCTTTTGGTATATTTGAAGAGGAAGAAGAGCTGGATTGCAGGTAAAAGGGAGTACATGTAGAACTGCTGATCTTAAATGAACATTTTCTAATTACCAAAATCATAATAGTGAGGTTTCTCTTGGTGGAATTACAATAGGATAAACCCCTCGGCACCAATTTTTAGCACCACTTTTAAAATGTTTTATTTATATTCCTTGCTGCAGGTTAGCTGTTCTTGACAAACTAAATAACTTGGTTAAGCACTGGATTGCAGAAGTTGCTGAAAATAAGGTAAGAGGCCTGTCAAAGCTTGACTCCTCCAGACTATTTACCTTGTTTTTAGCTATTGTAGAATTCTGTTCAGAGTAATAGAGATTTAGCTGTTTTTTGAGAGTCGTTTGCTGTCAAGCTACAGGTATCCTGCCATATATCAGAAGACTAACTGTTCCCTCCATGGAGCTCTTCATCTCTCACTTTCCCTTCCTGCCAGCCCTATTTTGGAGGCAATTGGGATAATCTTTGAAGCCACAAGCCTTTGCAGCAAATAATACTTGATTGCTTTGGAAAGCTCATGACTTATCATTGTTGTTAAATCATTGATAGAGTCAAACTCTAACAAAAGCTCTCTTTGCAAATTTCCTTTCCAAGGTGAAGGCAGGCAAAGGCTGAAGACAAGATGTCACCTTACTTGAGTTTTTTATTTAGCCGAGTGTTTGCTCAAAGATTGGTGGATAAGTTACAATTGACTTGGCACACAGAATGCATGAAATCATAAATTATGGCGTGAAGATTTCAGTGGTTGAAATTACAAAACATGATAAAATTGTGCAACCACAGTACATTATAGCTCAGCATAATGCCAGAACATGACAGTCTATTGCATAATTTCTGTAAATGCACTCAGAGTGGTTCATAAAAGCTGATAAAATGGCTTACAGTTGAGTAGTTATGCTATAAGTAGTAAAAAGAAGAAAAAAGAGTAAGAAAAATTTAAAAACTAATTGTATAAGAAACTTCTGGGAAGAGCAAATAGTTTTAGCTAAGACTATTGCCATCTTACTACTGATGGCAAAACATGTTTGGAATAATGATCATAATTGAAATACTTCTGGAATAGGAGGATTGATGAGAATGTTAATTGTTAAAGAACTGAATTCCACTGTATGTGCACATGTTAAATATAATTGTATACATTCAAAGTAAAACTATTTCCTACTTTACTGTAGAACTTGCCATCTTCAATTTCATCCAGAGCTGGTGGCAAAATATTCACATTTGGTTCCTATCGGCTTGGAGTCCACACCAAAGGTAAGATCTACCAGATACATTGGACCCCAATTATTTACATAATTTGCATCTGGCATGGATAGACTATCGGATTGTGAAAGGCTGTTATAAACAGTCTTGAACTGTGAACATGTTCATCCTCGTCAACTATGCTATGGCTGTTTTTTGGTAGGTGCTGACATAGACGCTCTCTGTGTAGCCCCAAGACACATAGAAAGATCAGACTTCTTCCAGTCATTTTTTGAAAGGTTAAAGCTCCAAGATGGCATCAGAAATCTGAGAGTAAGTCACTTTGTCTTTCTTTAACTATCTCAGGTGTGCATGTCACTCACTTGGTGGTTGGGCTGCACTGTGTGAAAGCTGTTTATTGGCAAGCCTTGAGACATTCAAAAAGGCTGTATTGAAGGGGTACAAAATGTTTTATTTTGTATCAATTGGAGTTTAGATTCATTCAGGTTTATGCCCCACATTAATGTTTCTCAATTTTCTCCTCTGCTAGCTACAAATTGTGGGAGTTTGAAATCCACGTATCTTAAAGTTGTACATTTAAAAAACACCGCTCCAAATGTTTCCCCACCTTCTTAGGACAAGCCATTTATGTTAGATGGAATAAGAAAATTTGGGAGCTGTTCTGGGTCCTAGAGGGACACTCTCCCAAAAATGAAGGCAGCAAAGACAGGCCCTCAATTTAAAATAAGTTGTTAGCATGCTTATTTCCTATTTATTCATGCTCTTTCTATTGCATCAATAATTGCAGCTTTAAATTATGGGCTGAACCCAGGGGATTTTTCCACAACATGAAAGCTTTATTTCTCACCCTCTCTTGCTTCCTTAGCTCTGGGAAGCTCCCAAGTACAGAAGCATTGATGTATGAATAAGAAAAAGCAAAAATATTGGTATAGCTCAGCAATTTTATAGAAAGGCTTCCTCTATTTGCCAGTTAAGTTTTTCTGAAGATGAATTTGACAGGGTTTTTTTTTGGGGGGGGGGAGATCCAGGGATACTGGGACATTCAAAAGTTGTTAATAATATGGGTAGTTAATTAATAAGAGGAACTAGGGATGACATAACAGTTTTCCAATATCTAATGGGCTTCCACAAAGAAGAAGGGGGACAACCTATGCTCCAAACCCCTTGAAGGTAGGAAAAGAAGCAATGGGTGGGAACTAATCAGCAAGAGAAACAACCTAGTACTAAAGAGAAATTTCTTGACAGTTAGAATAATTCATCAGTGGAATGACTTGCTCCAAAAGTTTGGGTGCTCCAACGTTAGAGGTTTTTAAGTAGAGATTAGACAATCATTTGTCTGAAATGGTGTCAGGTTTGCTGTTTGAGCAGTGGGTTGGACTAGAAGATCTCCAAAATCCCTTCCAAATCTTATTCTGTTATTCTGTGAATTGTTATAAGGCACTTTCTTACATCTTGCTAGGATATAGAACCTAGGATTATTATAATCTTTTATAATCTGAACCCTGGCACATGGGGTGCTGGTACAACTTAAATTTAAAGTAAAAACAAACTTGTTATTTTAAAAGTACGGTATATGATCTATTCTTCTTTTTATTGAGGTATTCAAAGATTATGTCTCAGCCTTCTGTTTTTCTTTAGGAAAAGTTACATCCATGATTGTGCTGCATATCTGCATTCTGGAAGCAGTGAAATAATTCAAAACTATTTCAAGTAAATGTTTTTCACTCTTTCCTACAGGCAGTAGAAGATGCATATGTACCAGTAATCAAGTTTGAATTTGATGGTATTGAGGTAAATATAGTTTTTATCCTTTTATGTACTGTAGGCAACATCTGCTTGAAATTTGAATTTGATGATATTGGTTGTCCTTTTCATGTGGAGAACTTGTTCTTAAAGTGATCTTTGGATAAGTGGTCATATAGCTATATAGATTCCATGTTTGAATGAAAAGATGTAAGCTTAGATCAGGAATGGTTTGGCACTTAGCTTGAGCACTGAGGTAACAGAACTTTGCCAGATTCCACTAGGAGCAAATTTGAACAAGGTTTCCATTGGTCTTTACAGTGATATGATTGCTAGCACAAAAAATATCAGCTAACATTTATCTTTCCTGGTCAGTAATCAAAAAGAAAAACATTGGAAAATAAACAATACTAATAATACGAAAAACAAAGTTGGAAGCAAATGAAAAATAGCTCTCCTTGGAAATTGGAAATAAGGCATTTCTGTGACAATATAAAAAAGTAAAGTGATTTGCATTTATACTTGGTATCCTAACATATGCAAATTAAAGGAAGATACTGTATATAAAAGATCATATGTTATGCCATATGTTAGCAGACTGAAAGCAAACGTTTAAACACGAGGTAATGCCCTACTAATGCAAATATGAAACAGAGAATAAATTTATTAATTTACACAGCCTTGGGCTCAGCTGATAAATCTTGAGGATATGGGGAATATAGAAGTAAGTCCTGCAAAACTGAAGTCTGACTGTACTAAGTGTAATGAGCATGCAGCAGTTTGCCATAGTGGCTGATCTTATGCAGCCTTTTTTTTTTACAGTTCCAGAAGAGGTGCATATTAATTGAAAGAGTAATGCAGTACAATATTACACAGACCATGTGTATGGAATTTTGTGAGATGATTCGTCTAGTTTCTGAGCCGGATACATAGATCAAACCAGAACACTTGCTACTTGGTAGCACATTGTTAAGGTTACTGCTAAGATACCATTTTCATTTCTTACATTTTAGATTGATCTCGTCTTTGCAAGACTACCCCTGTCAAGCATTTCAGATAGCCTGGACCTTAGGGATGATGCACATTTGAGAACCCTTGATATCAGATGCATTCGCAGTTTAAATGGTAATTTCAAAGCTTTCCCTAGCCTGGTATATTCATGCAGTTTATAACTTGGCTTGAGGACTCAAGCTAAGAATAACTGTCTTGTTTTCTCAAAACCTATGAAACAGTGGCTGGATAGTGATGTTCAAATGATGTGTGCTTTTGAGTGTTTCATGTGATAATGGATGGAATGGATCAATCCATTAATATCCATCCATAAGCAATGGATTGAAACTAATTAAGGAGAGAAGCAACATAGAACTAAGGAGAAATTTCCTGACAGTTAGAACCATTAATCAGTAGTACGACTTGCTTCCAGAAGTTGTGGGTGCTCCAACACTAGATGTTTTAAAGAAGAGATTGGACAGCCATATGCCTGAAATGGTATCAGGTTTCCTGCTTGAGCAGGAGGTTGGATTTAGAAGATATCCAAGGTCCTTTCCAACTGTATTGATGCTTAAAGTTTATTATACACATGGTTGCCCAAATCTTCGACTTCTGAAATTCAGTTTGCTTAAAACGTGATGGGATTCTCATACACAGGTGTAAATAGCATGTAACACTTTTCAGTATTCAAAAAGAAATGCTCCAGTTCTTGCAAAACATAGTTTTGCAACAAAAGTTCTCTCAATACTTGAGGTGCTGTCACAGAAAAGAGAGGATCGACCTATTATACCAAAGCACCTGAGAGCAGGACAAGTAGCAATGGGTGGAAAACATTTAAAAGAATTCCAACCTAGAATTAAGAAGAAATCTCCTGAACGTGCTCTATCACTGAAGGTTTTCAAGAAGATATTGGACAACCATGGTCCAGAGTGATATTGGATATCCTGCTCGAGCAGGAGGTTGAAGTAGAAACCCTCCAAGGTCCCTTCCAACCAGAGGTGAAATTCAGTAGGGTTTGACAGATTCTTGAGAACCAGTAGCAGAAATTTTGAGTAGTTCGGAGAACTGGCAAATACCACCCATGGCTGGCCCCAGAGTGGGGTGGGAATGGATATTTTGCAATATCCTTCTCCCAAGAGTGGGGAGGGAATGGGATTTTGCAGTATCCTTCCCCTGCCTACCAACACACACCCACAGAACCAAAACTAAAAAAAAAAAAGAATTTTACCACTGCTTCCAACCATGTTTTTCTATATTCTAAAATCCTGTTGGATAAGTCAGGAAGATCATGGTATTATTAATGACATGATATGACCAGATTAACATAAAGGCAAATTCTACCAAATTCTTCATCGCTATTGGAAAAATAGACATTGATTTTTAACATTGCTGTCCAATCCTGCACTGGGTCCATTGCTCAGTGTACCCACACCCAGTGTACCCACTGAATACATTTAGGTGGAAATTGTAAAGACTCTTTTTTCTGCTGAAGAAAATGACACAGGATCATCTCTCTCAAAGCCTATGTAACCCCCACCCAACCCCAACATTTACCATAAGTTACAGCATGCTCATATCATGAGATATTTTTCCATGTTCTTTTAAAGTAAGTCCTGTATTTTTAACATTTCAGCATTTCAGCATAATGCAATACTCAACAAAGTTACATAGGTTAATTAATGGTACATATTCCATGCCATGACTTTTCCAGTAAACTTCTTTTTTCAGCATCCATTTTTAGTCATAATATTTGCAAATCTGCCGTTTGTCTTTTTGTCTTATCCTTTAATACACTTGAGGTTACTGTTTAGCAAGCTAGGTATATTTAGGCTTTTCTTGAGTTTTTTATCAAACTTTTGTTGGAAATTTGGTGTTTTCTCTTCCAATATCATTCCTGTTCTTAAACAATTTGGTCATCTGCTGATAGGAATATGATGTATGCCCTTTAATAATATGTTTAAGTGTCAAAGAGTGTCTTGTATTTCCTCAGGAATATAATAAAGTCTGGAGAGTTTGTATTCATCTCCCCAATTGGAAAGAAAAAACAAAAAATTAAGCTACAGTATTAATATTGAGAGCCAGATTGGTATTGTGATTAAGGCATCAGCCAAGAAATCAGGGCACTCTCAGCTCATATTGATGTTGCATGATTGTTATAGCAGCTAGATTTAAAGAACTAGCATTTAGAATAATCCTTGGATATGGAAAAATATGGTAAAATGCACTGGGTATCATCATTTTCAAAAATTGTCTCTTTTAATATTACTGTTTCGGATCAGTTTTTGCCATTTTCTTTTTTTCAGGATGACTTAAGCAAAACATGTATCAACATTTTTCCAACCTGGAATGTTTCATATATGTTGTTACATTCCAGTTACTGAACATGGCTGGGAATCCTTGGCAGTGAGATGTACTGAATCTGGATAGAAAGGGAGCTGAAGAATGCTGCTGTAGACCATTGCTTACCATTATTGGTGCTTTGCCTGTTTAACTTGAAACTTTAATGTTTGTCGGCAGGTTGCAGAGTCACTGATGAAATACTTCATTTGGTACCAAACAAGGAGAACTTCAGGCTGACACTCAGAGCAATTAAACTGTGGGCTAAGCGTAAGTACTTAATATATCAAATTTTGCACTATCAGCTGCAGGGCTTAATAGTCCTTGAAATGACTCTTTAGGGTAAGCCAAGTGAGTTTGTCATATATGAATGTTTTCTGCAAATCTTCATAATGGTAGTTGGACCATACATTTAGTGGATCCCGAAACGAATTTACATGTGTGTAATGTTTGCAAAGCAGTGGCTGGGTATGTGTTTGTCATTCCTGTTGAATGCTCAAAACCTACTTTAAGCCACATCAAGCAGTTAAGCATTGGTATTCAAAATGGATGTCCACCGGATTGTAAACATGACAGAACAATTAATCAGTGGAACAACTTGCCTTCAGAAAAATTGTGTGTTCCAACATTGGAGGTTTCAAAGAAGAGACTGGACAACTACTTGTCTGAAATAGTATAGGGTCTTCTGCTCGAGCAGGAGGTTGGACTAGAAGGCTTCCAAGCTCCATTTCAACTCTTTTATTCTGTTACAAGAATTCAGTCCTATATAAGAACAAGAACAGAAATATTGCATATGCTACATCACCTCCTGGGCCTGGCAAGTAACATTGAGGTTCCTGTGAGAATCAAGAAACTAGTTTCTTTAGTGGTATAACCCAGAAAATCTGATGTGCTGCTCCTCATTAGAAATTAGATTCCCACTCATTTTGTTATAAAAATTATTTACAAATTATATCCTGTATTCTGCTGTAATTCCTCATTCAGATTGCTGAAAAAGTTCAATCCAAATATTAAAGAAGTCACAATGCCTTTCTCATTCTTATCAGTTATGAAGATGCATTATGAGAACATACACATAATAGCAGACGTGACTAGTCTTAGCGTTTTCTGAAGTTATTCTTAGCTACAGGAAAACGTTATTTGCTTCTGGACACTGAAAGGTATTAATATTTTCCAGCGAGAGTGAAATAGTTCATTCTTTTTTAAAGAAACTTTAAACATAATATCAGTTCAATCAAGGAATTGAAACACATGACCTTTTAAACCAATATCTGTGTTTCTTTGCACATACTAGAGGAGGCTCCCTACGGTTTTAAGCACTCTCCCGCCTCCTCTGAACTCGCATCTAGAGTAGGGTCCAGATGCAGATTCATGACAACTTCTTCTCCAGATTATATGCACTGGGCTGTTCTATGTGTTGTTTGATTCCTGATTGTGTGTAGTGTTTAGTTCTTAATTAGGATGTTGATGGCTGGCTATTAAGTCATTGATTGTTGTTTCCTTGTACTGCTGCACCTTCAGTCCCTGAGTACCTGGTAGGCTGGTGGTAAATCAGAGCTCCTATTGACTGACAAGGATCCTAGTATTCATTCTAATGTTAAGGCTTTGAAGTAATCACTTGTGTATTGAGAGATGACAATGGCATTGGTCAACCACCCAGAGCTTTTATAGCACATGGTTCTGGTCAGATGTCAGACTGCTGCATGTTTAGTGCAATAGGTGCTGCTATGATGCTGTTAGAGCTGAAGTCTAGGGACCCAAGTGACAGGGAGAGGGGGGGGGGATAAATTGGTGGAAGGGTGCTGAGACTGACAGTAATCACTGTGACATCTTTCCTATTATTAAAAACATTTTATTGCTAAGCTTGACTGGATATACCGGCTAATACTTTTATTTTTTTTTCAATGTCTTATTCCTTTAAAAATCCATTTATTACTAAGGAAAAGGTGTTTATTATCAAATTAATCCTGCATTTGACAACTGAATAAGGAAACTTTTGTAAGGGCATTGAACAAACTATTGTAAGGTGCATGTATAATTCAGATAAGTAACCCATCTATAAGCTCGAATTACAACCCAGTGCTTCACCCTTGGCTATCAAGCTGGTGGGGTGTGGACAGTGAGACCATGGGCTGAATCTGTTTTCCTCGGCTGGGTTGTCTAAATTGCAGCTGCTCATCTGCTGTCCTTAAAGGGAAGTGAGGCAAATTAGCACCACAGAGCTGTCTATTTATCTGTTAAACTCAACCCTTTCCACGCTTGCCTGGCTTATAACATACAAATGGCCACAAGGTGGAATACTTTCAAAGGAAAGTAATTGCTCAAATAAAGTCCCAATGACAAATATACAGAAAATTGTTGCTCAAAACTAAGTCTTAGTTAATGCAGTCTTTGGGCTGATGTGCAAGCTTCTGTTTTCAGAATTTTTGAGTGTTTTGGTTTTTCTGAGTGTTGTGCCATGTTACATACAAGGGATCTGCCATCAGATTTCATAGTCTGAGTTAGTTAAAAGGGGGTTGAGAGCCTTTGAGTTAATTAAAGGAGGTAAAGTGGTTCTGTCTTAACTTTAGAAGTATTGCTGGCGGTCATGTTTTCCCATTTCTTTACATTATGCTCATGTTCTAAATTGCTTTCCTATACCCAAAATGCTGCTTATTTCACAGAGTGTAAACTATTCAGTGATGATAAAAGTAGTGGAAAATACAGTCTATTTCTTCCATCTCTTTTAACCTACCTGGTTTAGAAAAGAAAATGAATTAATTTAAATCAGACTAAAGCAGGGTGAATGGTTGTAGTCTAGTTTTCTTTTGTCCTGGTGTTTTACCAGAATCTGTGGCAGGATAAAAGAACACACATTTCAGCCCAAAAGCTCATCACTGCTTCATTGATGCCAGCCATGATAGCCTACACCAGTATAATGAATGCGACTGTTTGAAATACTGAGTCACATCTGAATGCCAAATATCTACTTTTAGGGCGTGGAATTTATTCCAACATGCTGGGATTCCTTGGTGGTGTTTCTTGGGCCATGCTGGTGGCAAGGACCTGTCAGCTGTACCCAACTGCTTTGGCATCAACCCTTGTTCACAGATTCTTCTTAATTTTTTCAAAGTGGTAAGATTTACTTATTTATTTAGTAAATGAATAGACAACCCATCCCACTATCCAAAGCAACTTTTGATTAATGTATTGGGCCTCTACTGTGTAAGCAATGCAGGTTATATTATAGATTAACAAAACATTACACTAAGCTATGATTGGCAAGTGAAGTGGCTTGAAGTCACGTCTCTTCCTGATAAGTATTCATTAATGCTTTCCTAACCTGGTAACCTCTAGAGCAGGAATGTACAACCTTGGCAACTTTAAGACTTCGTCAAGTTTAGCTCCCAGAATTCTCCAGCCAGCCATGCTGGAGAACTCCCTACTCTAGACATTACTGAGATGCATCCACTTCTGACTAGCATGGCAGTGTTGATAGAAAGTTATGGTTGTTGTAGTCCTGGAGGGTGGCGTATTGGGGAAGGCAGGCATATCTTACGTTTCTATTGTTCGTAATGTAGAATTCCTATGGGTAGTTCAAGTTTTGGCAGATTGCCTATACATATAATATTAGCATTGTGTACAGATTAATATAATGGACAGAGCAAATTCTGAGGCCATATACAGTGTATGTGTTCAAAAAGAATAAAAGAAACTTAACTGTCCAGAATTACTACTTATCTCTCTTACTTGCAGGGAGTGGCCCAATCCTGTCTTGCTGAAACAACCTGAAGAGAGCAATCTCAACTTGCCTGTCTGGGACCCCAGGGTTTGTAAAGCACATCACTTTGAGATGACAACAAGTAACAGTTAATTGATGGGGGGGAGCTTTGCAGTATCCATTCCTCTTCTAAGAGATTATATGTTCTGTGTGGGTCTTTGAATTGTGTGGGGCAACATGGGAGGAGAGGAAATGTTCACAGAGAATAACAGCTAATGTTTGGAAGAAAATCTACTTCTAAGTTGAATGTCCCTGTTTCATTTCAAGATAAAATGCATGCAGGGCGTTGTGACGTTGTGTAATATGCCTTGTAATCAATGTTGTGGTTATGCTGTGTCCTTGATTCATACTCTATTCTGAGCTATTTCTTTAAATTGCTTTAGACTTGGGCTGCTTTGCAATTATCTATCCTGAGTGGGGAAAGGGCATTCCCTGATAAGTGAAGTGTTTTTTCTGCGTTTTCTGTTGAATGATAAACTTTAGCAGCTATAAAGCACTTTCTGGACATGCATAAAATAGGTTGCCTGGATTATCTTTGGCATAAGGACAATAGTTACTGTAAGATAAATTGATGATATATTCCCCTGATTCAAGTGGAGGTTAAGACTTACATTTATATTTGGTTTTCTAAAGGCCAGCTGGTGAGTTGGTGGTTGGTGAGATTTTTGGTTCATATTCTGAAACTTAGTTCTTCATGGAATCACCCATTTATCTGTGACAGGTAAATCCAGCTGACCGATATCATCTAATGCCCATTATCACTCCAGCCTATCCACAGCAGAACTCCACATATAATGTGTCCACATCAACCCGAGCAATCATGGTGGAAGAATTCAAGTACGGTAAGCCATCTCCATTGCCTCTGTGTTTTGCATATTTCCTGGATAATCTGTTAGAAGTATTTTGCATTTTCCTCTTATGAATGGATACAAAAAAGTGCTCTGGATCATTTTTGTTCATTGGCAATCTGGTAGGAATGCATTTTCATTGATCAATATTGTTCTTTATGCAAAGATGGGTGTCTAATGATAAGTTTCATTTATTTTACTATTTATTATAATACCACTTCAGTCTAAATCAATCTGTGCAACTTACAAAAGCAACCAATGATAAATAACCATAGAAAAATAGATAAAACTGTCCTATGAATGGAGCTATTTCTGAATTAGTATTTGGTTTTTGCAAACATTTCTTAAAAGGATAAGGGAGACTTATCATCCTTCCCCTTGTTTCACCTCAGCAAAATTTAGGGAAGAAAGGCATTCTTTGGGACACAGGAGCAATTTCTCCTGGAATTTTTTAGGGTTGGGGGGATTGATTAGTGGGGGTAGGAAGGTCGACTTCATTCTCCCTTTCCCTCCAGGTGTATCTTTACTGATGCAAATAAACAGCATTCATGTCATTGTTGTTGATTTTGTTTGGTCCTATTTCTATCCTTATTCTGTAGCATTTTAAGAGAAAACAATAGCCTTCTTAAAAATGGCAGCAGAATTGCTCATTGGACAGGAGAGAATTCACAGAGAAGTCTGTCTTTTAGACATCTCTTGTTTCAAGGATTGTAGAAATGTGGCATTGGGAATCTTGATCTTGATGGGTGGATGGGCATTGGGCAGAATTAACTATTATTCCCCTTCTCTCTTTTCATATTAATCTCTTATTTCTAACATCCATTTATCACTATGAGTATCCAAGATGAGATACAAAGTGTTCCTGTGTAGTTTAGGGATAGGATGCCAGTCCTAAAAATAGAAAAGGTTGGGATGGAAATGTGGCACTATTTATAATCTATCCCAATGGGCCCAACTAGAAAAAACAATGGGATACTGGAGGTTAAGGAAAGTTCTTCATGAGGTTTGTTATGATTTAGAACTCCTGTTATTCTTAGTCGCAATGGCCTTTGTGGAACTGACACTTCTGAACTTATAACTGTTTAAACTGTTAAGGCACTTATTATAGGTGTGTATATTTAAACAGGTCTCACGGTTACAGATGAAATTCTTCAAGGAAAGTCGGATTGGCCAAAGCTGCTTGAGCCACCCAACTTTTTTCAAAAGTATAAGTATGTAAGATCACCAAAGGTTTCAGAATTCACATTTCAGCAACTAAATATTTTGTATTTTAGCTAACAGTGCAGCCTAAGCATCTTATGGGTAAAAACATACTAAAATAACAATAATGGAAATACAGCATATTTTTAAAAACTAAGTAATTTGAATGTTTTGGATCAAAGAAATCTGGGTGCAGTAGTAACATGTGCTTAGTGATAGCTGGGTAGGGTATGGAATTCAACATTGTTAGGAAATATATTTGCAGTAGTGACTCTTTATTAATTTTAATATTTATTTGTTATGTTTGAAATGTATTGGATTATCTTGTAGTCAGTCCATGACATGGTACAAAATGTTACCAAAGTTAGAGAACATAATCTTCACCCAAACAATTTAATTAATCTTGTAATGCAGCTGCAAACAGCTGCACCCAAGGCCAGCCTTCTCATTACATAAAGTAAAGCAATTCTTCAGGTAACAAATGTTGGATGATTGTGGCAGTGGCATGTTGGCTAATAGAGCAAGCTGCTTTCTTCAAATAGAGTGCCAAATATTATCTTGCTAACATGAATATTAATCCAATAGTAGACTGCTAATGCACGGTAAACAAAAAATGTATTGATTTTCTGTTCGGAAATGTGTAGCATTTTTTTCATTGGGTAGATTTATATTATGTTTATATATTTTATAATCAACAAAATATGTTAGGCACTGCACAGGAATTTTAGAGACAACATCTTATTTATTTAACCCATCTTGTAGAAAAAAGATGGCCTTTAGATAACCAAGTAGCACATTTTTGTGCAGCTCTATAAATTACAATTAGCACTTTCAATATTTTGAGCCACCCAACTTTTTTCAAAAGTATAAGTATGGAAATATTATTTGGATCTGCTGTAGTGATATTAGATGTTCTAAAATGTTTGAAATGTACATGCACTTGGGTTATCAATATTATATAATGGCTAAAACAAGAATTGGTTAATCCTTCAACTGCTCCCTATACTGTATTTCCTGTGGTAGGAATCATGAATTTGTACTAGGAATTCATCTCTATGTCAGTCAAGTATCTTTTTTTCCAGTTTCCATTTTTGATAAACTGTCTTGCTTAAAACAAGCTCTTCTACCACTCTTGAATGATGCCGAAGCCTCCTTAGCCTTACACATGAACAAGAATTAATGTGGGAAAAGCACATCAATATACTTCAAGGTTAGGGAAGATTTTAGAAGAGACAGTGTTATAAAAAAGGTTAACACGAATTGAAGATTGAGTAATACAGTTTTAAATAGTTTAACAGTAGTTTTAATAGTTTAATTTAAAACTAAAACTATTAAATATATCAAATATTGGTTCTCTATTTTTTCAGGCACTATATTGTATTGACTGCTGTTTCTTCAACCGAAGAACATCATTTGGAATGGTAAGTCTATTTTTAAAATGCTGATGATAATCCTAATTTTAAAATCAAAAGCATTTCACAAAGGAATTGAGGGAAAATATCTTTCCCTCAAAGTCGTCATTAGGAACAAAAATATTTATTTTCCAAATCAACTTACATTCAAGCATCCAAATTAATATTATGGTAATATTTTTACAATGTATGTGCAGAAAAATTAACATAGTCTCATATATTCTGTATAAATTATTTTGCAAGTTACTCTGGTTATTTTAAGATTTCAATTTATTTAACCACTTGCTTGGACTTCTATATTTTGACAAGGTTTGACCACATAATTTTAGATGTGTCTACATGCATGAAGGGATAAAAAACATTGAAAAAAAGCTAAAATTCTCAATGCAACTCTGCACACAACCACATCAAGAGAGTTGCAGGATATACTCAGTTGTAGGCCCACCCATCATGTAATTCCTGTCTAATATCAGGTCAGTTCAATTTCTAATCACACTATCTGTTTTATGATTATACTCTACTAAGCCATAATGTGATTTACTTGCTTTGGCTTAACACATTGTTTGAAACTAACTACTATCCCATAATACAAATTAGTTTCCAATAAACAAATGCAAACAATGGAGAACAGGTTTGAATAGAAATAGTTGTTTTTTCTGCTGGGCTAAGATCCTGGTGACTATCACAAATGTCTTCATTTTTATTGTCTCCAGTGAGAACCCATAATTCTTCCAAAGGCATTCCTACGATCCCTCTCATCATGATTATAGCAATAGCTATAGCACTTAGACTTATATACCACTTCATAGTGTTTTGGAGCCCTCTCTAAGCGGTTTACAGAATCAGCATATTGCCCCTAACAATCTGGGTCCTCATTTTATCCACCTCGGAAGGATGGAAGGCTGAGTCAACCTTGAGCCTGGTGAAATTTGAATTACCAAATTCCAGGAAGCTGGCAGTCAGCAGAAGCAGCCTCTTGTATTATACTTCAATCACTGTGCCACCAGATCCTCTTTATTTATTCTCCTCTTCTTCTCTTCAATCAAAATAGTTGCTTTTAATAGTCTATTATGTGTTCACATTGCATGGCTCAAATATGACTTTCTGTTTATACATAATCTCAAGCGAGTAAATAATGCCTAATTAATCCAGGATGGACTAATTGATTCGTCTTGCTGTCTGTGGTTATTATGTTCTTGTCTGAATCTCTGAGTCAGAAACTAAAGAGACAGACCAGCAGCTTGAAGGATCAAAAAGCAATTAGCACCTATAGCAGTTTGGGGAGACAATAAGGCTTAACAAGGGAGACTCAAGTGCCAAGTTCTGTTAGGATGCCTCCCTCAAGAACAAGTGGAAGCTGCAAAGGACTGAGCAAAGGTAAATATTGTAGCATGCCTCCTTGAGAGGAGAGGATGGCTAATCCAGCCACATTAGCACTGGGGCTATATAAGAACTCCATTGGGAAAAAAGTCACCTACTGGAGAAACTTGGCCTGCATTCCTGTCCCTCTTGCTCTGCATTTGGACCCTTTCAGGCTTACTCCTGGAATTCTCTAGTGATCAAACAATAGTCAACTATTAGACCAGTGATGGCGAACCTATGACACGCGTGTCAGTGCTGACACGC